GTTAGTTCAATCTCTAACCTTTTGTTCTCTCTGCTTTTCCTCAGAGTAGCTTTGCCTCGTCTGTTCCTGTTTGGCTGTGACGTCATCCTGGAAAAAACATCAGCTGTGCTGCTTCTATCAACACCCTTGTTAATAGATGTTGGAGATCGGCCTGTTTTCCAGTGTGGTCCTGTTTCTCTGACCGTGACTGAGTGGATGTGCTCTCTTCGTCCTCTGGCATGGGAGCTGCCTTGGAGCTCGTCTGCCTGGCTGTGTGTTTCCTGGACGGGGCCGCCTTTTACAGCTGCTTTTTGTATCTCTGCTTCTGTCTCCTTGAACCCCAGTCGGCCTCAGCAGATGGCCGCTCACACTGAGCCTGGTTCTGCTGGAGGTTTCTTCCTGTTAAAAGGGAGTTTTTCCTCTCCACTGTCGCTACAAGCATGCTTAGTGTGGGGGATTGTATTTGAGTCGATGCAATCAACTGGTTTTCCTTAGATAGAAAACTTTGTATCAATTTGACTGTATGATCTGGTTGAACTGTAAAGTGCCTTGAGATGACATGTGTTGTGAATTTGGCGCTATATAAATAAACTGAATTGAAATTGAATTGACTGGGACGGAGCAGGAACTGACTGGGACGGAGTTCTGACCTTCAGCTTTAGCTCTAATCCTCTGAAGCGTCCTGGGTTCCTCTCATCCCTGAGGAGGCTACCTGAGGTCAGAGGTCAGCGTCTGTGTTCTCCTCTGGACCTCTACCCCCAAAGGCTGTAAAGGGCACTGAAAGTTGATCTAGGAGCTTTAGCTCTATAATTGACTTCATCATAGAGATCAACTCTGCATTGGTTCCAATAAAACCTTTGCTGGTTTTATTGCTGGTTTTAACTAACCCAGCAAACAGCGTGAAGACCACCTGGCAGCCATTTTCCTGCTCTGCTAACTGAAGGGAAATGTTTGCTCCTTTTCCTGCAGATGTTGGCTCAGATGGTGCCGATCAGTGAACTGGGCTCCGTCTGCGTGTCCAGAAGGATTCAGTAGATGGAGGTTCATCTACAGCTCTTCCTCTGCTGACTGGTTATTAAAAACCAGTATCAATCAGAGGGTTTCCCAGTATGCTGGTTCTATGGGAGGCAGCAGGTTCTGCTCCTGGCCCTGATCAGCCTCGGTCAGCTCCCCTTCAGTTGTCGGGGAATCCTGGGGAATATTTTGCTGATAAATCTCCATGTTTGTCATTTATCTTTAGTTCGTTAGATTTATGGTGAAAACGTGTCTATTTTAGAATCCAGGCTTTTAAATTGAAAAGTCATTGTGATATTTAACAATAAAAGTTGAAAAGCTTTATGCATAGAAATTTCATCTTGTATACCCTGTGTTTATAAGATGACAATAAAGTTAGTCTATAGTCTATAGTTTCATTAATCAGCTCAGAGTGAGCAGGTCAGAGCCTGGATCACTGAAATGCTTCGAACTCGCCTCCTGAGGCTCCCTCTGGTAGCCAGCAGCACTGCGCCCCCTCTGGTAGCCAGCAGCACTGCGCCCCCTCTGGTAGCCAGCAGCACTGCGCCCCCTCTGGTAGCCAGCAGCACTGCGCCCCCTCTGGCAGCACTGCGCCCCCTCTGTTAGATAGCAGCACTGCGCCCCCTCTGGTAGATAGCAGCACAGCGCCCCCTCTGGTAGATAGCAGCACAGCGCCCCCTCTGTTAGATAGCAGCACTGCGCCCCCTCTGGTAGATAGCAGCACAGCGCCCCCTCTGGTAGATAGCAGCACTGCGCCCCCTCTGGTAGATAGCAGCACTGCGCCCCCTCTGGTAGATAGCAGCACAGCGCCCCCTCTGGTAGATAGCAGCACAGCGCCCCCTCTGTTAGATAGCAGCACTGCGCCCCCTCTGGTAGATAGCAGCACAGCGCCTCCTCTGGTAGATAGCAGCACTGCGCCCCCTCTGGTAGATAGCAGCACAGCGCCCCCTCTGGTAGATAGCAGCACAGCGCCCCCTCTGGTAGCCAGCAGCACTGCGCCCCCTCTGGTAGATAGCAGCACTGCGCCCCCTCTGGTAGATAGCAGCACTGCGCCCCCTCTGGTAGCCAGCAGCACTGCGCCCCCTCTGGTAGATAGCAGCACTGCGCCCCCTCTGGTAGATAGCAGCACAGCGCCCCCTCTGGTAGCCAGCAGCACTGCGCCCCCTCTGGTAGATAGCAGCACAGCGCCCCCTCTGGTAGCCAGCAGCACTGCGTCCCCTCTGGTAGCCAGCAGCACTGCGTCCCCTCTGGTAGCCAGCAGCACTGCGTCCCCTCTGGTAGCCAGCAGCACAGCGCCCCCTCTGGTAGCCAGCAGCACAGCGCCCCCTCTGGTAACCAGCAGCACTGCGCCCCCTCTGGTAACCAGCAGCACTGCGCCCCCTCTGGTAGCCAGCAGCACAGCGCCCCTCTGGTAGCCAGCAGCACAGCGCCCCTCTGGTAGCCAGCAGCACTGCGCCCCCTCTGGTAGCCAGCAGCATAGCACCCCCTCTGGTAGCCAGCAGCACTGCGTCCCCTCTGGTAGCCAGCAGCACAGCGCCCCCTCTGGTAACCAGCAGCACTGCGCCCCCTCTGGTAACCAGCAGCACTGCGCCCCCTCTGGTAACCAGCAGCACTGCGCCCCCTCTGGTAGCCAGCAGCACAGCGCCCCCTCTGGTAACCAGCAGCACTGCGCCCCCTCTGGTAACCAGCAGCACTGCGCCCCCTCTGGTAGCCAGCAGCACAGCGCACCCTCTGGTAACCAGCAGCACTGCGCCCCCTCTGGTAACCAGCAGCACTGCGCCCCCTCTGGTAGCCAGCAGCACAGCGCCCCTCTGGTAACCAGCAGCACAGCGCCCCTCTGGTAGCCAGCAGCACAGCGCTCCTCTGGTAGCCAGCAGCACAGCACCCCCTCTGGTAGCCAGCAGCACAGCGCCCCTCTGGTAACCAGCAGCACTGCGCCCCCTCTGGTAACCAGCAGCACTGCGCCCCCTCTGGTAGCCAGCAGCACAGCGCCCCTCTGGTAGCCAGCAGCACAGCGCCCCTCTGGTAGCCAGCAGCACTGCGCCCCCTCTGGTAGCCAGCAGCATAGCACCCCCTCTGGTAGCCAGCAGCATAGCACCCCCTCTGGTAGCCAGCAGCACAGCGCCCCTCTGGTAGCCAGCAGCACTGCGCCCCCTCTGGTAGCCAGCAGCATAGCACCCCCTCTGGTAGCCAGCAGCACTTCGTCCCCTCTGGTAGCCAGCAGCACAGCGCCCCCTCTGGTAACCAGCAGCACTGCGCCCCCTCTGGTAACCAGCAGCACTGCGCCCCCTCTGGTAGCCAGCAGCACAGCGCCCCCTCTGGTAACCAGCAGCACTGCGCCCCCTCTGGTAACCAGCAGCACTGCGCCCCCTCTGGTAGCCAGCAGCACAGCGCCCCCTCTGGTAACCAGCAGCACTGCGCCCCCTCTGGTAACCAGCAGCACTGCGCCCCCTCTGGTAGCCAGCAGCACAGCGCCCCTCTGGTAGCCAGCAGCACAGCGCCCCTCTGGTAGCCAGCAGCACTGCGCCCCCTCTGGTAGCCAGCAGCATAGCACCCCCTCTGGTAGCCAGCAGCACTGCGCCTCCCTGTGGCTGCCTGAATGTCTCTAACCTCCATGTCTGCTCGGAGCCTCTGGGCTTGTCGTGGATGAAGGCTGAAGATCTGCTGCTCCAGCTCTGCTCTCTGACATTCCTCCTGGTTCCTTCTGGAGATCATTTCTGCTGCTCACAGCAGAGAGGAGAACCACGTCAGCATGTGGAGCTGATTAGCAGGAGTGGGGCGAGGTTTAATGAAATGGCCTCATTGGCGAGTCACTGCGAGCTGGACTGGAGGGTAGATAACAGCCCAGCAGGCAGTAAACAGAGCTGCTGACTGTTTTATTTCTGCAGCCTCAGAGTTTCCCATCCTCCTCCGTTTCCTGTCCGATATTTGTGCTCATACTTTCTGATATATTCCGATACGTGGGATATAGGGCTGCAACTAACGATTATTTTAAAAATCGATGAATCGGCCGATTATTTTTTCGATTAATCGATGAATCGGACAAAAAATATTTTTTATATTAACCTCTTTATTCCAAAATAAACATTTTAGACAGAACAAACAAGCACACAAGTACAGGTTGCTCATTAACTGTACTGGTGCAATATGAAAAATTAAATGTTTGTTTTAAAACTACGCAAACTTACATGAGAAATGTAGCTGTACATCCACAAAATATAGGCTACTTTGTTTCATAAAGCGCAAAAAAAGATTTTTGTTTTTTAAAGCCCCTAAGGGGTTCAAACAATAGGCCCCCCCATTTCAACAAATGAGGTTTTTTTAGACTAGAAGAGTTCTGCCTTTTAAGACAGGATATAAGTATAGCAGTTAAAGTTGCTACTTGAGAAAATACTGAACCATAGAGATAAAAATAGCCTGTGATTCAAATTATAAATTGTATTTGGAATAAAAATGAGAGAACTAGGGGTGCTAAAAAACACATCCTCCAAAGACAGATATTTACATGGGAATGTGGCATATAATTAATTGACATATTACTGATCTTGCTGGATTTTATTCTGCTTTACTTCCATAAATTGCAGGATCTTCTTTACTTTATCTTTGCCAGAAGATTTAAACTTTAAAAGCATTGCCCTCATAATTTGCAAGTTAATTGATTTATAAAGGCTATTTTAATTACTGTGATCAATTTGCGCCGTCAATCCCGGCGCATGCGCGCTTCATTTGCAGTCTGGACGCCGAGGGTAAACGTCCTGCTGCTCTGACTGCAGCGCTGAGAGGGACTCCTGCGGGAGAGCGGGGTTGGGGTGGGGGAGGCGCCCCACGGCAGAGTAGGAACGATACATGCTTTCATGTAAGAGTCTCCAAAAGCCGCCAGTGACATCGTAAAAAGTCGCCAGATTTGTCGCTAGTCGCTTTTTTTTTTTTTTATAGTCGCTGGAGGGGTCTGAAAAGTCGCTAAATATAGCGACAAAGTCGCTGAGTTGGCAACACTGCGCACATAGGCTGCGTCTCAATTCGCAGGCTGCGTACTTCCGAGGACGCAGCCTACCTAGCCTCCGGAGGACCCAGACTTGGTAGGCTGCTCCGGAGGATCCTCAGCCGTTGGTAAATGGGACGGTCTAGCCTTTGGAGCACTTCCTGGTTGCGACACGATGTCATCACGTTTACCCCAAACACAGCGCGAAACAAAATCCGACAGCTCGAGAAATACGGAAAGAAACAACAAAAAAATAGATATGGACATTTTTATTTTTTTTATTTACTTGTTATTGGAGGAGGAGAGTCGGCTTTGACGGCTTCGGCGGCAGCAAAACCTGCGACGGATTTTTCTCAGGCTGGCAGAGCGCAGTGGAGAGGTAAGATCTACCTGCTATTATTCTAACCCACAGGGCCCTGCTAACGATCAGAATATACCAGCTATTAAATAAACGCTTGTCAGCAGATTGATGAATAGGTTTAGATATCAAATTTTATATTTATTTGTAAGTTTGTGATTTATTAGTTTGTAACTTTAGTAATTTGAATTGAATAGTTAAATGTGTACAAACCCTGTAAATAACTGACTTAAATAACTACTTTCACCATTACTAATGTTGTGTTGAGAAGCCAAACTGTTGAGAAATAAATCCTTTTTGTCTAAATTGTTATCCCCTTACTGCCTGATTTTATTTGCAATTGTATATATATATATAAACATAATACAGGAAAAAAAAATCAAAATATAAAAACATAAAAAATAAGTTAAATAGTGGATCTAGATGAAGTAAAATTTAATTTCTAATAAATCATGTAATAAAAATAAGGAAAAAAAGATAGATGACTGAATAAAAATAAATATTTTTGTCTTTTTTTTTCTACAGGTCATAACAGCCCCAGAGGATGAAGAGCAGGACGACATGCCAGAGGATGAGGAGGGGAGAAGGTGTAGGAGGCAGTCAGTGGTGCTCCCTGGCGGGGCAAGCTGTCTGTTGAGGTGTCTGCTCTGGAGGAGGGTCTACCCGACCACCGTTACATTTAGATGGCAAGTAGAATCACATTTTAGCTGTTCTTATTTAAGGGTTATAAAAACAGTTTTAGTAAAGTCATTATTTTCTGCGTCTTCTTGAACATTTTTAGTAACATGGCAGCCATCGATTGCATCAGCAGTGGAGAGAGGCAACCCCCACCCACCAGATGATGTCCCACTCGCAGTCAGAAGACTCCAAGCTCATCTGTGTGGCATCGCATCCAGACCAGCAGCACCACCAGGGACTCCTGCTCAGTGACAATTGTATATATATGTTCTCTAGTAATATTTATTGTATATCTTCTGTAAATAGTTGTAGTAGTTAATTTTAAAATCTAATGTCAATACTTAAAAATGTTTAATAGTTTATTGTAAATACTTGCTTCTCTAAAAATAAACTGAATTCACTGAGAAGTTGTTCTAAGTTTACTTAAATTACAAAGAAGTGATGAAACAGATCATGTAAAAAGGTTAAAAGACTTTAAGAACACACCGACAGCAATAACTTTTATAAACAATTTAATCATTTAATTTAACCATAACAGCAACACAGAACCTCAACTTGTTAAAAAAAAAAACACCAAAAAAATAATAACATCTGTCCACCATCCTCTCCAATAAATGAAATAATCTGTCCATCCTTTCCCGCCTCCCTCTGCCATCTGATCTCCTCCCTGATTAAATCCACCAACTCGTCACTCCTTCTTCTCTTCCTCCTTTCCCTCCTCTCTCATCCTCATTCTCTTCCTCATCTTCACCCCGATGCTGCTCAGCCTCTGCAGCACCTGGCCCTGCTGTGTCCTCAGGGATGGAGGCAATTAGGACAGGTGGGGCAATAGAGGGTTAGGGTTGTAAATATGAGATTTACAAAAAGTTGCATCTGGGCATCATTTGATGTGATCAAATTATTATATATTTGTACGTTGGTGTTTGAACAGGACTTCTTTTAACTTGTGTGACTTTTACATAGAAATGCAACATGTAGATGGAATTCTGCCTCAACTCTTCCCTCCATCCGCCTGCAGCAGTATTTTTGGCCCCGATGATGAGGTGGTCATTTTATCCACTCCTCTGTCTGCTCCCTGGAACAAAATGCCATGTAAAGCATATTTCTGTTAAGTCAACAGGCAAAATGACTGTTCTGTATAATTATGCCTGTATTGTTCTTCAAGTGAATTATACTTTAAACCTTATTATACTGTACTGTAAATTAACTATACATTATTGAGTATTAAAACAAAACGTTTACAGTATTAACAGCCCAGTACAGCTGGACTAATGTTATTTCTTCAGCTGCATTAAGCTTTAAAGTTCTAATACTTTGTAATAAACTGTTTGAGAATAAATAGATCTGATTAGAGAGGGACACGGCTATCAGTACAGTAAGATGTAGGTTAAAATAAAAAATAGTGACATTTGTATGAAGGCTTTTAATTGTTGATGAACATCACGTATCAACAGGTTAGCTCTTAGCTTTAGCTTTAGCTGCTCCTACACATCCCGGTGGCTCCGTTACCGTCATGTATTTTAATAGATGTTCATTCAAAAAAACAAACTACTTACATTTAAAGGTGTTCTCCGCACTACTGTCGGCGCTGCTGCTTCTTTCGGTTGTCCGTAATTTGAAGAAAATCCGACTTTCTTCTTCTTTTTCTTCAACTAAAAAAATAATAAAATAGCACGCAAAGCACCTCGGGAAATCTAGCGGGAGGCGAGGCCACTAAGGACGGTAGCGATGCATCCTCAGAATTCGGGGAAAAGGAGGACGCATTTTGAGGCTGCATTTTAAGCGTCCTCAGAATTTTTGCCAAATGGGACGGCCTCCGTGCAGCGTTGTGACGTCACCGGCCTCAAAATGCGTACTACCAAGTACGCAGCCTGCGAATTGAGACGCAGCCATACAGCGCTGGCTCACTCTGCCGTAATTTTTTTTCTTCCCCATTTCAATCAAGTGGCAGTGATAACGGCGGATGACGAAATCGATGATGAAATATGTTGCCAACGCTTTTAAAAGTCGATTTTTATCGATTTTATCGATTCGTTGTTGCAGCCCTAGTGGGATACATTCAGCACCTTTGGATCGGGTAAAACGCAGCCCTGCTCCCTCTGTTACTGTTGCATTTATTAATAAAGGTTGACTTGTTTTTCATTTAAGGCTTTATCATTAAGCGGAATGAAAAAAAGTGACGTCAGCTTTAAGAATCGGCCCAATTAAACCAGCAGGATGGAGGATGGGTTGTCCTGGATGGGTGGAGGCCGTACCCGGACTCACCATAGGGGGAACCAGGAGTATTCCTGAAGCACTGGCCTGGGATTGGCCTGCAGTCTACCCATGCAGCGGCGGCGCGCCTATCAGAGGCCAGGCCACTTAGGCCAGCAGCATGTGAGGAGGAAAGATGATCAGTTTATTTCAATTAACGGCCAACCCAACAGTCTGTATCAACCACACAGACAGCAGCGTGTGGGGGAGGGGGTTTGTGACGTGTGTCTGGTACTGGCTGCTGCTGTGGAGTGTAGCTAGCGAGGATAAGAAGCCATGGACTGGAATCAGGAGAGACCAGCGTGTCTGCTGGAGGATCAGCCTCAGTCCTGCAGGTTTCAGCAGATCTGGTTTAATGCTCTGCAAAGGCTGCATTTCCTGTGGCCCTGGGTACAAATCAGCTCATTTCTACATCAAGATTTACATCTGGGTCGTCCTCAATTTTACTTTGTTAAAAATACCAACATTGACGTTTTCCCTCCCCATGAACAGTCAGCATTCTAAACTATAACTGTTTAATATTAATGTATTAGCTGCTGCCATCCAGGTATTAGCCCCTACCATCCAGGTATTAGCCGTTAACATTAAGGTATTAGCCGTTACCATCCAGGTACTAGCTGCTGCCATCCATGTATTAGCCGCTACCATCCAGGTATTAGCCACTGCCATCCAGGTATTAGCCGCTACTATACAGGTATTAGCCACTACCATCCAGGTATTAGCTGCTGCCATCCACGTATTAGCCATTAACATCCAGGTATTAGCCCCTACCATCCAGGTATTAGCTGCTGCCATCCAGGTATTAGCCCCTACCATCCAGGTATTAGCCGTTAACATTAAGGTATTAGCCGTTACCATCCAGGTACTAGCTGCTGCCATCCATGTATTAGCCGCTACCATCCAGGTATTAGCCACTGCCATCCAGGTATTAGCCGCTACTATACAGGTATTAGCCGCTACCATCCAGGTATTAGCTGCTGCCATCCAGGTATTAGCCATTACCATCCAGGTATTAGCCCCTACCATCCAGTTTTTAGCTGCTGCCATCCAGGTATTAGCCATTACCATCCAGGTATTAGCCCCTACCATCCAGGTATTAGCTGCTGCCATCCAGGTATTAGCCCCTACCATCCAGGTATTAGCCGTTAACATTAAGGTATTAGCCGTTACCATCCAGGTACTAGCTGCTGCCATCCATGTATTAGCCGCTACCATCCTAGTATTAGCCGCTACCATCTAGGTATTAGCCCCTACCATTCAGGTGTTAGCCGCTACCATTCAGGTATTAGGTGCTACCATCCAGGTATTAGCTGCTACCATCCAGGTATTAGCCGTTAACATTAAGGTATTAGCTGCTGCCATCCAGGTATTAGCCCCTACCATTCAGGTATTAGCCGTTAACATTAAGGTATTAGCTGCTGCCATCCAGGTATTAGCCCCTACCATTCAGGTATTAGCCCCTACCATCCAGGTATTGGCCGTTAACATTAAGGTATTAGCCGTTACCATCCAGGTATTAGCCGTTACCACCCAGGTATTAGCCCCTACCATCCAGATATTGGCCGTTAACATTAAGGTATTAGCTGTTAACATTAAGGTATTAGCCGCTACCATCCAGGTATTAGCCCCTACCATCCAGGTATTAGCCGTTAACATTAAGGTATTAGCCGTTACCATCCAGATATTAGCCGTTAACATTAAGGTATTAGCCGTTACCATCCAGGTATTAGCCGCTACCATCCAGGTATTAGCCCCTACCATCTAGGTATTAGCCGTTAACATTAAGGTATTAGCCGTTACCATCCTGGTATTACCAGCTACCATCTAGGTATTAGCCCCTACCATTCAGGTGTTAGCCGCTACCATTCAGGTATTAGGTGCTACCATCCAGGTATTAGCTGCTACCATCCAGGTATTAGCCGTTACCATCCAGGTATTAGCCCCTACCATCCAGGTATTAGCCGTTAACATTAAGGTATTAGCTGCTGCCATCCAGGTATTAGCCCCTACCATTCAGGTATTAGCCCCTACCATCCAGGTATTGGCCGTTAACATTAAGGTATTAGCCGTTACCATCCAGGTATTAGCCGTTACCACCAAGGTATTAGCTGTTAACATTAAGGTATTAGCTGCTGCCATCCAGGTATTAGCCCCTACCATTCAGGTATTAGCCCCTACCATCCAGGTATTGGCCGTTAACATTAAGGTATTAGCCGTTACCATCCAGGTATTAGCCGTTACCACCCAGGTATTAGCTGTTAACATTAAG